TTGAGCACCTACTATGTGTACCAAGCACTGTTCCGAGCACTTTTCGTGATTAACACATTTAATCTTCACAAGTACCCAATGAGTAGAAACAATAATTCACTCATCTACATACAGACTGAAGTAACAAGCCTTAACCAACCTCGACGCAGCTGACCCAGGAATCAAATCCAACTGGTCCGACTGTAGTGCGTGCAGCTTTTGTCCCTTCATTTTGCCAACATTTTTTTTTTTTACATCCAGCTCTCAGATCACAAATTGTACTACAAACAGCAAAGGCGACGTCTTAAGGAACCAAACAGAGTATGTTTTCCATTGTCCTCAGAATGACACTATTAGACACAGATTGAGAAGGCCATTGATTTTCCACTCCACGGACCAAAGTGGATAATAATCCTTCGAAACTGCAAATGGGGGTGCCTTATGCAGCCTTCTTTTTAGCACGTACTGATTTATTCAAGAAAATCACAGATTTCGTAGATGGCTGGTTATAATAATCTCAGGTTAAAAACAGAACCATAAAAGTTGAAGACAGCAGAGATTCTGTCTAAAAATAAAGCAAATGCTTTTTTTCTTTCTATAATCCTCAGTTAGAAGCTATTTAAGAAAAAGATAATCAGCTTCAGAAATCTGTAAATATGGATTCTACGGTTCTCACTGGCACCTCTGCTTTACGAAGTCACTTTAGTACGTTTTGAAATGCGTAAATGAATTATTTTACCCTACATCCATCCATGTTGCCCTCTTATTTTTAAATGATATCATTTTAAAAATTGATTTTAGTGAGAGGAAGGGGGGGAGAGAGAGAGAGAGAGAGAGAGAAACATCGACGTGAGAGGGCAACATTGACTGGTTGCCTCCAGCATGCCCCCCACTGGGGATCGAGCCTACAACCTGGGCATGTGCCCTGACCAGGAATCAAAACTGGCAACTTTTGGTGCATGGTACGACACCCAACCAACTGAGCCATCCTGGCCAGGGCAGTTCTCCACATTATTTACTCTATTTTCTTGATAAGGAAACCAAGACTCCGCTGCTTAAGGTCATATAGCTGGGGCTTCAACGCTGATCATTTTGTTTCACAAAGAACAACTCTGTGTTCTTTCATTACAACACAGCTGAACCAGACACTAAATCAATTCCAAATACTCCTTTTAGGCAACCTCCAAGGACAGCTCTTGGGAAGGACAGAACCTCATGCTTCCAGGAACTCAACAGGGCACACTCTTTCCATCTGATCAGAGGAGGTTGTTGCTGAGGAATAAAGGCTAATGGGAATATGGTGCCCTCCAGCCGTTTTATTATGTGTGTGGGGGTAGTGGGGGTGGTTATAAACATGCTTTTTGTAAACTTTCCTGTTTCCAGGGGTATGAAGAAGTGGCGAAATTAGAGAATCTGATTTCCTAAGTTTCACAGTTGGTTTTAAATAGCACTTAATATTTCTTTTAAATTTATATTCTCAGCCTTGATGCCCCTCAGATTCACCTGGGGGAGCTCTATGAATTCCAACGCCTGGATTCCACCCCAGACAAATGACGTCAGAATCCCAGGGGGTGGGATGATGGCATTGGTGCTAAAGCTTCCCAGGTGACTTTACTATCAGTCACAATGGAGAACTATTTGTCTAGATCCTTAAATGGGGTGGCAATCTATCCTACAAATGGCATATACTACACCTTACTCCCCAAAAAGAATATATATCAGGTTTAACTGGAGGGTGGACTTTAAAACGGCATAATATACTCCCAATTGGCAAATTCAGGGTTCTTAGAGGGATAATGTTCTACCCTTCATGTGTGTTGGCTGGTTTAGACCAGGCTGCACCCAATTAAATCCCAGTGGAGTGGAACCCAGGCATGAGCCATTGCTAAAACCTCTTGGGTGAGGCCCATGTGCAGCCAAGATTGAGAACCACCCCTTTAAATGGTGTCTGCTTTGTTTGGAAGAGGAAGTAGAGGCCAGGCTGCCCCCATTAACCCCGGTGAGCGACAGTAACTTGGCAGCAGCCATCACACGCGTGCTAAGCACTGGCTCTCCCAGATCGAGATTTACGGCCTTGGACAAACAACAGGACCTGAACTTGGCATGGTGCCGTTCTCCCCAGTAGTAATTAGGGCTTAAATAATCCCCATCAGTATGTGCATAAAATAAATGGACCTCAATTTAAGACAACTTCCCCATTGTGTCCTGGTTAATGTTTTCACAATTTACAGGTTTTCACAATTGGAAATATATGAGTTTTGTTTTCACACAGAGAAGAAGATATTTAAACCTAGTCATATAAATACTAATCCCCCCCCCCATACTGGGTCATGCAAAAAAAATTACTTACATGGTCATTAATAATAAGATAATAACATGTACTCTGTTCAATCACTAATCAATATGATTATCACAAGCGTCTTTCAATTTAATCATCGCTTCTTATCGTCATCAATTTCATTAAGTTTTTGGCAGGTAGGGGAGAAATCAGGGTATAGATAGCAGTATGAAGGATGGCAGCTGAATGACAAGACTATACACCCAGAAAATGCAAAGAAAGGAAGTGAGTTTATTAAATAATTTAGCAGAGCAGTGAGAAGAGAAATATCCACTACTGCTCTGCTTTCTTTAGCAATCTGCCTCCCACCCAAATGCCCGTACTCCTCCCCGGACAGAAAATGCACATGCCAGCACACACCATCCGCTTAAGGCTCGAGTTTTAAACCTCGGGACAAAGGTATCTTTTAATAATTAAAGTAAGCATTATTACATAAAAATATATTTCTCATGGTCTGATTTCAAAGCATTAATAACTGAATGAAATGAATGAAAAACCAATAAAGTCTTCCTTTTCTGCCGCCCTGGGACCAACCTTTGCCCAGCTGGGTGATCAACAGCTGCTGCTGAATATGTAAATGAGAGAAAGGCGAACTAGCAAAGAAGTCTAAGCAAGCTGGGGCTGGCCCGTCTGGTCCAGTGGCCTCAGAAGCAAGACCCAGGGATCTCGGGGGCCGAGCCAGGCAGAGGCTGAAATGGGAACATGGGCCAAAGCACACTTAGGACCTCCTCTTTTTGTTTGTATTTTGTTTTTTAAAAAAATATGTTTTGATTGATTTTAGAGAGAGAGGAAGTACGAGGGAGAGAGAAAAAACATCAATGAGAGAGAAACATTGATAGGCTGCCTCCTGCACGCCCTCTTACTGGGGATCAAGCCCACAACCCGGGCATGTGCCCTCACCGGGAATTGAACCGGTGACCGCATGGTGCGCTGGACCATGTCCAGCCAACTGAGTCACACCGCTGGGCAGGACCTCTTTTGTGTAACAAGATTGCGGGACATGGACTAGGGTAAGCCGGGTGCCATGACAGAGAGATAGGATCTGGCCCCAGTGGCAGTCTCAGAATCAGCAAGTTGGAGAGGAGATCACGCGGGTAAAATAGCTGGCATTTCTCCCAGAGGAAGTGCACTGTGTTGACCAGGACTATGCACAAGTGCCCATGGGTTAGTGCTTCTCTTGCAGGCTGGCCTAAGTCTCAGAGAGGCCCAGCCCTGGCCATGCGCAGGGGATGCTGCTGACTCTAGCGTGGATAACCTGGTATTTTAAATTCCTAGGAGAGGAGTAACAAAGCTAAATTCCTAGGAGAGTAGTGAAAAGAACTTAGCAGCTGCCAAAACAAGATTCAAGATAAATGATAATGATGTGAATTTTTCGACTACTTGAAGCAAGCGGAGGGTAACCCAGAAGATTATGCTGTTCCTATCAACCTATAGGGATCACCATGAGGCCACGTGACCTCCTTATACCTCCACAAACGGAGCAGTTTTAACTATTCAGGAGGACAGAGCAACAGAGAAAAAGAGAAAGCAAGGCCATCTGTTTGGGAAGACCAAAATATGTTAAAAAAAATTAACACTGTGCCAGGCAAAGCAGCTCAGGCATATCTGATCTGCATCTCCCTTTTCCTGATGGCCAAGCCCACTTCAATATCCAGTGTCTGGCAATTAGTTAAAGGAATATGAGTGTGGAATACAGTACAGCCATCAAAAATCATACTGGAAAGGACACTTCATGACATGTTAAAAACAGCATATTATACGATTCAATTTTAGGAGAATTGGTTAAAAAAGAAATTCATCCATAATCTGCAACATGAACCAAAATGCTAATAGTAGTCATCTCTGACTTATGGAATTAGTACTGGTTTTTCTTTTCTTTCTTATTTCTCCCCCATGCCTTTTTTTTTGCATTTTTCAAGTTTTAAGAGCCATGTATTAATTTTCCAATCAGAAAAGAAGCCATTATTTTACAAGGATTCAAGGTAAACACCGTGTAACTCTATTTTAGACAATAAAGCTTTGATGAAACTGGCCACCACAGTACCTCAGATTTCAGATTTCAGGCTGCTGGCAAACTCTTCCGTTGGGGTCACTAACCACCAGCAGATGCTAACCACTGGAGATCCTGAACTTGG